GGTGTTGATGGGTTTTTCTGTATTAAAATAATAAAGATGTTACAATTTTCTATGGTGCTCCTCACCTTTTGTCTTGGAAGTCCCCAGGTCCATTAATTATCTTCTCATGGCAACTTAACCAAGGATTATGCTAACACCAAACCGATCTAAGGGACATCTCCCAAATTCTGCCGGTGGTTTTGTGAACCTTGTGCAGGCCTGGATTCGCAAAATGAATGAGTTGCAGGATATTTTAAAGGAGCCGCAGACATTTCATCCGGTAGAGAGTTTCCTTGCTGTTTTCTGCAAGAGCTGCAGCCGCATGGCAAATGTTTAAAAAATGCGTTAACCTAAGCGCCGAACTGTCGGGCAGGAGAGGCCAACAAAGCTTTATTTAAATGTTAGTGTAACCTTGTGCTTTTGCAGTAAATGACAAAAAATATCTTAATTTATGAAGTTATTTATTATTTAATTGCTGTGACTGGGTATTATACTCGGTCATATATCTAAATATGCAATATGCTATTGCGCCACGTAGTTGGCAAACCAAATTCTCAAAGGGGGTGGCCATTTTAATTAATGCTGTTTTTATTTGAGGCCGCAATTCCTATAATGTGGGAAACTATTAAAATAGCAGGGAGGCTAAGAGCCAACTGGTTTTGCGGTTTCTCGCAGTTTCTGCTCTTTCAAGGCATAATGCCTCAGAGCCTATTACTTTCATAAGGGATTTTCATTACTAAAAGCCACCTGAGACCACAGAATTGGAAACCCATTCCTCATGTGACTTTTAACCGATTCGCAGTTCTTTATTAGGTATGTTGATAAAATAACTGGGAGTCATGGACCTGGAAGTCTACAGCAGGTTGCCCCGAGTTGAAAATGCATCAACCTTTGTAATACTAACATGCAATATAGTTGTTATATCATGAACTTATAGCCCTGTGATGGCCGGGAGTGGCAGTGTGCCTGCTTTACACTACGCCTTTTTCCCCAAAATAATTTCTGATTCACTAAATTGGCAGTGTGGACCATTTAAGCGAATGCCGTTTAGCGAAGAGTACGGAGGGTGTTGAAGCTTCATGTGGTGAGCCTAATTAGATTATGGGCTCTGGGTGCTGTGTGGGCAATGCAGCTGTGAATGCCGCTTTGCGTGATGACTTACCGCGTGCGCCGTCAGGGAACCAGCCCCCCCCCCCGGCACTCTTCCCGCAGGAATGTCACCCTTCTGAAGCGATCGAGCCCGCAAACTGCGCCGCTGTGCAGGTTGCTTTAGTCTGAGTCTGCATGCTCTTCATTATAAACCTTCGATTATCCCTTATGACCTTAATTCGCATATATTTGTATTTTTTTTTTTTTGCAAAGCTACAATCTCATCCACACTTTTAAGATAGCTATACGCTAGCTGCTTGTTCTTTTCTTTATATATATATATATTTATTTTTTTTTCTTTACATATTATATATTGTGTTTTTTGCTTTCCTTATAAATTATTAGCATGGAAGCCCTGGCCTTTCAATAGTGAGGTATTTGGTTTTTTGATTTATACATTTTATGTAAATTCCTCATACTTTCCCGTTCAAACATTAGCCCTGCAGGACAGTCCTTTTAATACTGAGGTTTTTGGTTTTTTTGGTTTATATTTTTGTCTGTTCCTCATGCTTTTTTATTGGTAGAGCTAGAGATGTGGCTTGGAGGTGTTTGCATTCTTTTGTTTATATATTTTGATTTATATATTTTCTGTTCCATCCTCATGATTTCCTTTTCGCTCGTTAGCACCTGAGACCTGCCCATTTTATCCTAAGGTGGTTGCAGTCGTCCCCTAGCTATACCATGTACCAACAGAATGCTTCTTGGTGGGATTCTGGCAGACTAAGGAGTCACACCATTCCTCTACAATGCATTTCTCCAAATCACATGGAGGTGATAGGGCAATAATCCCTCTTTTAGGCGTATTTAATGCTCTCCTCGGAATTAATTCCAACAACTGGTGGGGCAACAGAAGAGGAGTAACCCTGCCTTTGTGCTCGTCGAACCACCTGCTGGCAACACCTGCGCGTGTGGACCAGAGCACCGGTGCCCTGGAATGCATCGTCCTCCAGCAGGGCTGCACAGGCATGCCAAGGAATGCGTGTGGAAATCCTAGTGCGGAGCAGCACCCTGCAACCAGACCACATTCAGACCAGGATTCCTCATCATGCCGCCAGTTAGCTTTTGGTGGATATCGTCTGACAGCTCGCGGCCTTATTGTAATCAGAAGCTTAGCTATATAAATATTTTTCGCAGTGAAGTTGCCTTCCATTTCTATAAGCAAGAGGAATGTAAGATGCTCTAAAGAGAGCAGAGTTTCACAGCAGAGGTGCTCATCTGTTATATGTTATGATCTGGACTCATTATATACTTACTGTGAATTTACTTTTGGCTGCATGCATTTGAAGGACAAGCAATTTTTTTTACTATGTCTAAGTATCTTTATTTTCAGTATCAGCACATACAATCCTTGCTTAATGAGGTAACATCAATAATCCTATAGTGTCTTGCCCGTTATTTATTTTTCCCCCCTTCCTAAAAATGAGTCCTCAGCTGTCATTAAAGCCTGACCCCCTTCTTTATTTATTGAATCTTCAATTCCAGCAACCTTTTAATCTTCTAGCTGCTTAGGGGCCATTTAATTAGGGAGTTAAACTCTGTTATTGTAAGTAATTCGGCTCCTTGCTTGTTGCTATTGTTTGGCCCAAAGTGGAGATCTGACCGATTTCAATGCTATTCAGGGCCATACACCCCCAACCCCCAACCCCCCCCCCGGCACTCTGAATTTAGCAGCCAATCGCCGACACAGCACAGCTATCTCAGGCACTCTTCTTTTTTACCTCTAATTGAATGGAAACACTGCTTTCATTGTCAGCAAATATTTTTGGCCCTAACTTACAATCCTCGTCGTTGACACACAGTGCAGACATTACTATAATGAACTATAAAATTAGCCATTTTAATATCATATTGAGGGTAATACTGAGAACATAAACGAACCAAAGACGTTTTCATATACCATGTTTCTGAATTTGGTTTCAATAAAGGGCTTAAAAGGGATTTGGCAGAATCATTGCAAGTAGATTTTATAGTAAAGTAAAAATGCATTATAACGTGCAGATAGATCTATTTACAATGGCTTTGCAAGCTAAATTAATTCAGACTGAATAGAAGCAGAGGAAGTCACCTCATTCGATCTGTTATAGGCACTGAAGGGCTTTCCTTCTAAGCTGGCAAACACATTTAGCTAATAACTGTTCAGATCATTAGGATAATCAGCCTTATAAATGCATGGGCAAACAAAAGTTCACAGCTTCAGCTGCGGGGCGGACGCGTGTTGGGTGAGACCCCCTCTGCGCCCAAACTTTTCAGTGTCCCAGCCTTTCTGCTGCTCTGCTCTTTAGTAGTATCTGTTGCAGACATTTTACAGTATTTCCTTTTTTAGCTGGGGACCACTGAAGAAAAGTGTGTTTATTTGGAAAAATATCTACATGCATAACGTCAGCAGTTCAAAATGCAGGTAATAAAAAATAAGAATGATTCCATTAATTCCCTACACATCAACACTATTTGCTACATTGCAGCTAAAACTGCTGTGGAAGGGTGCCATAATAATGAAAACAGGACACACAACATACAGCTATTTAATCAGATTCTGAGAAAATGGTCAATATCTTTTTGTATTCAAATTCACATACATATTTTTTTATCTTCCGTTACAAAAAAAGATAGTTTATGCTTTTATTGATATACATATTATTATTATTAGTAATAATAATATTATTGTTGTTCTTGTTGTTGCTGGTGGTGTTACATAAGAATAAAAGAACAGTAACAAAAATCATTTCCAAAAACAATGATTAATAAAATAATATATTATCTCTCTATGAGCCCAATACAGACATTGATTCTTCTGACTGGATTATGGCAGTAATGTGTGTGTGCGTGCGTGTGCACATGCGTGTGTGTGTTTTATGCGTAGATTGCTATTTTTTGGCTGACAGTAGAAACCCTCTTTTTGGAAGAATCTCCTTCTGTCCACCCTTCGCTCCTGAAGGCCTCCTGTGTGGTTGTCCTCCTGATTTTCAGTGATTTCTCCGCAGTTAATCTTTTGTGCTACACTTTAATCTACAGTCTTTCTAGAACAAATGCAGAAACTAGCCTTGTTTCTGTAGCTCAGTAAAAAGGATAAACCTATAGTGGTATAATACCTACACATTTGCTTGTCATCACGCAAGGCATATGGTTCCCATAGTTAACGTGAGCCATATCTTGTTCCCACTCCTTAAACATAAAAGATTCAAATTATGTTGAGAGTGATTTTACACTGTTTTAATCAGTAATGCCTTCAACTAATTAATATCATTCTAAATTAGCATATAAATATACAGATAATAATACAAATAATTAAAAAAAGAGATAAAATTTAGGATTGGGAAGATATGTGTTTACAGAAACTCCAACTGTACACCCATATTTGGTATATATGAAAATAAAATGTTTGTGTTTATTAAATAATATAAGCACTAATCAAAACAATGTCTTCTTTGTCAGGTACTGGTGCCACCTCAAAGCACAATGATGGTTAGGAATGAGTTAAAACTGGAATGTTTAATGAATCAGATGATACGGAAGACAGATGCCAAATTTGGGGCCATTCTGTGGCAGGCTGACAGGCAGAGCTGCTTTCATAAAACCCCGCTGGGTGACCAGCTTTTCCCTAAAACTGACCCTGGGTTGATAACCAACATGACATGGTGTGAGTCACATGGTCAGGAAAAAAAACCCACAGACAGACAGACAGACAGAGACACACACACACACACACACAGACGTTTGCATTCATGTCTTTGTGGGGACTGTCCATTCATTTCTATGGGCATAACCCTAATCCCAGCAATGACAACCTTAACCAAAGTAACCAAACAAAATACAAGAGTTTTGACATTTTTAGTTTTTTGACTGCAGTCACAGATTTTTATGAAATTGAGTCCTAAGGAACGGTCCCCACAATGTCAAAATATCAAGTTTTTGTCAACAGGTTTTTATTCCCCACAATGTAATATAAACACACACACACACACACACACATACACCATGAATATTATTACAGCATTAAGTATGGAAATAAAACAAATATGTGGCTATATTTAATTACTGAAATCATCATTTGTCCCATTACTGACCTAGGGCCTGTACTGCACAGAACGCTTGCCCAGATTTTGCACAGAAACTGCTCTCCAGCCCTTTTACTAATATTTCCTTTGGTTCTGATTCCAATCAGAAAGACACCACTCTTGGAAATCTGCCAGTTATACCTTCCATTATTTGTAAATATGAAAATGTACAATTATTTTCTCTCTTAGTGTATTGTATTTCAATTTTTTTTTCCACAGAAAAAATTTCATAGGGAATAAAGCAGAGAATACTATTTATTTAATAAACTAAACATTGCTGATAGTTTATTGAAACCTTAAAATGCCTAAACTATTTATCATGTAGATATGTTCTCTCTGCATTATAAAAAATAATTTAAATGTATCACATTAAGTTATTATTATTATTATTAACAATGTTACTACAACAAGTAAGATTAAGACTAAAGCAAGTAATCAATTAGTCATATTTTTATGCTTCACTATCCATATTTCTGCCTATTATGTTTGCATGTATTTAATTAAGAACTCATACAAAGTCAATCCTTAGTTGACAACTAAGTGTACTGGCCAAAATAATAACAATAATTTTGCAACAATATTCAAATTTAGAAATAAAAACATTCAATTTATTGACTTAGCATATTTACCCAGTCCATCAATAAGTATTTGCGTGTTTTCCACATTAAACTTGTAGTTTAGTTTATTAGGGCAAACCGGTGTCGGTTGGACAGCATGACATGGCAATGAAAAGTTTCCTCTTAAAAGGCATGTGACTCAAAGCAGCTTCCAAGACAAACACAATGGCTGAACAGCAGAGGTAACATAATTCTCGTCCTTGTAAAGTGATGTTACAGAATGAATAGCACACTCTCTTGTATGCCTGTAACCATTGTGTAAAACACTAATTATCGGACTGATAAAATCATAACCCTTCACCACATGGCATCTTTAAATGGATTATTGAGACCCAGAGAATTCCTTTACATTTCACAATGTAAATCCCGGTAAATTCACAGCAAACTGAGGATATCATATTATCTTAAGCTAGCCTGTATATACCATGGCAACGCACATGATTTACTGCAATATAAATCTCAAATGAATCTGACTCTGACTGGCGTTTTTAGGTTTAATCCTGACTACTAAACGCCCGTTTAACAAGGATAATAGATAATCAAATTTTAATATTGCAATGTAAATGTAATGCTCATTTTAAATAAATATTTCAATCATTAAAATTACTTTACACATCTGCCATAAAAATATATATGTATATATGCATAAAAAAAAACAAACGAAAATACAACAAAAACACAGGGCTTCCTAAATGCCAGACAATGCATTTTCACCTCAACTTTACAGTTATTACAACAGTAGGAAACCAACCCATGATTACCAAGAAGTAGCTGCCATGTTTACATGTGACCTAAGCCGTGTTTGCATCGCTGAAGGTGTGTGAACCCTGTCTGTTTGGATGTGAGTCAACTGTATGCGGTTAAGTCAGTCCATTTATCATTGCAGTCTCTGAGGCCCTTCAAGTCTCCTTGAGCAGCAGATGAGGCGCAGGATACGCGCGAAACCATAGAAACACAGCGAAACCGAGACTGAGAGAGAAAAGCCCATGCAACAGAGAGCATCAGGACTCCTGCTTGTCGAGTTGCGTGTATCACGTTCAGTTAAAAAAAAAAGTCTTTACAGTCTCAAGTACAAAAATAGATCCTCACTTTTAACGTTATTTGTGGCTGAAAAATTATAAACATCTAAAGGGTAGGGATATTAATTTCCAGTACAAAATGTTACAAGAGTTCTAGGAAAAAAAACAGCCATCATTTTTGTTAGCCTTGCTTTTCTTTCCACTGTGGTTCCTCAGGTGTTCCTCAAGGCTGCCTTGAGTGGTGAGTGCGTTTAGTCCTCTTGTTGAAAGGATAGTTGATGAAGTGAAAGGGCCGGTGCTCAGCCGAATGGTGTCCTTTGGGGGGGCGTTTCATGAAGTGGACTTCCCGCTGGTGCTGTCGGGTCTTGGAGCCCTTCCTGGGCCGGCCTTTACGTGTGAAGGCCATGTACCAGCCATCGTATTTGGCGTTCTGCAGGGCGGTGTAGTTGTTCTCCAGGACGATTTCTGTGAAGATGCAGTCTTTCCCGTGCCCGTTTTTCTGTAGGGGAGAGGGTTTTCCGATTTTAAAAACATACCAACAGGGCCTAAGGGGAAACATCACATTTTCTGATAAATCTAACAAATTTGAGACATTAACCTCTGAGGTGAGGCGACGACAAGGGTTACAAAATTATGATGTACAAAGACATGAGAAGCTAAACTGACTCATTTCAGGCTTATTATTAAAAAACACTTGAATGTTAATGCTTTTGCTATACAAACTACTACTGGAATTGTATTTAACCTGACATTTTTACGCATATTAAGAGTGTCAGCGTTTGTAAAAAATCATTATATAGTTAGCATATGGCTACAGAATATGCTTTAGTCTTCTGCCAAGCATTATTGGATTGACTGTAATTTAATTTATTGATCATTATGTATTTATTCTGACTGCCTACGACGGAACATGTAATGCAACCTAACAATGACAACTGTAATTTGCGGCCTAATTTTAAATTCCCGTCAGTGCTATCGCCATATACTGTAATATCTAACAGCTGATTCTTCGTGTCGCCCTCTGCCAAATCTGGGACACGTCACAGCCTTAACAAGCCAAACTAAGAGCGCAAACATATCTCCAACCACTTAACAAACTGGGCTGTTAAAAATAAACCAAATCCACACTGAGCGAAACACACATCTTGAGCGTAAGGAGAAAAAAAATCCCCACACACGCAGTGTTGGGCATCAGAGATGTCACATGAAGTAAGATCAAGCTCCCAGACAGATGGTGCACATGGCGGGAAGCTGACTAGGTGTTGGCAATATTTGCATCCCAGTTTATTACCGAGCACAGCAAGCAAGAAAGAATCACAAAGCTACCCTTGGAACAAGGATGCCCAGTGAAAAAAACACAGCGAGGAAGGATCTAATTCCTTACACTCCATCAACCTCACAAAAGCTATAAAATGTGATAGGCTTCAATATGTGATGCGTATGAAAGAAGAGCAGATGATGACTGCACATTAAAAAATCTGTCAGTTTCCCAAAATGAAAGATCCAGTATTTTAAACTTTTAATTGATTATTTTTGATCATTTTTGTGATTTTGAAATTTATTTAGATCTGCATAGCTAAGCCCAGGATTACCGCAAAAGCTAGCATAAGCATGTCTGCTAATAAAATTACAAATAACATACAGTACAGGTAGCAGGCTTTACATTGTCATTGAAAGACGTGGTATTGTAAGTAACTGCCTATTATGCCTGCGTAAATATGACGTTAGCAAATGTTAAATAAGGTCTATTCATGTTTTGTCCATTATTGTTCTAGTATTGTCTTTATAATGGACTGCTAACCATGGAGGATGACTTAATGGAGGGTGGTGTATCTCATCATTTCGTATCACACACTGACTGTATGTGTGTGTTTTTAATACATGTTTTCAATATTTTGCTAATATCATTCAACCATAATATTACAGAAACACATCTCCAAAGTTAAACATATTATATTGACGAAAAAAGTCTGGATCACTGAATTACCACTGAGGTTCCGTACGTTGCCCAGTCTAATCATGTATTTCACATTACTCATTTCCCTTTCATGCATGTTAAGATACATAAACATATACAATGATAACAGCTACACTTTTGGCCCTGAATAGGCTTGAATCATAAAGTAAATGTAGATCTGGGGGCAAAGGGTGACAGTTTCACTTTCTCCGACTCACCTTTCCAACCAGTTTCCCCCGTTTGTTCATGCAGATGTAGTAGCCCGTCGCTGCTCCTTTAATTCTCACTCGACTTCCAAAAGTATCCGTCTCCACTATGAGTTTGGCTGGGGAGCAAAAATAAAAAATAAGAAATTCAAGCGGACATACTTAAAACGTTGAAACTCCTGAACTGGGGGAAAGCACATTTTTATAATTCAGCTGATGCAGCTGTCAAATCGGGGTTTCCTGGTGCCTTTTTGCTTTTCTGTCTGTCTCCATCTCCCTTTCATGCTCACGCGTTCACAGAGACACGGGGCACATACATAAACCCAGCAGGGAGCATTTTGAGGATTTATGCAAGCTTAAATTCTTGCGCAATGATAAAAACACATGTACCTCAATTCTTTGAAATGAAAGGAATCATCCTCGAAGGCCTATAAACTTCTCTATAATTCCGTGCTCTCCTCACACGTACGAATTACGTATATCTTTATTGTAGACTGCATATGTAGACGTCATACAGGAATTGACCTATAAAAAAATCTATTGTCTATGATGTACCATTTCCAAAGGAAATATACCAATCCAAAAATGTATGGTCTGTGGAAACAAGTGTCATCTTTAGAGCCAGAACATTTGCACTGCCCAAACCATGCTGACAATATGAAATGAATTGTATCATTTCATCAGATAAACGAAACGCAATGATTTCCTGCGCGTTCCCATAAAAAGAGAGCAAAATAAACGCATCTCAAGGAATGTGAGCGACTCGTCTAGTCAGTGCAGAGCTGCCAGGCAGACCGAGGGATTGGACGGGGAAGCGATCAGGCATCGGTGGAGAAACCTGCGGCCAGCGCGGAGCAGCAGACAGACCTTGGCCCGTGACTTTGGCCTGCTGTGACCATGACACCCACGGATGTCACGGACGCTAAAGAGCGACCGCAGGCTGGAAGGAGTCCCCTGCGGAGCGGAGCGCATGTGTTCGCGCCCTCGTGTGTGCGCGGGCGTGTCCTTACGTGTGTGTTCTTCCGCGTGTGGGTGTTGCGTGCCGAACTGCAGAGCAGCATTTTCCTAAAAGCCAGAGCTATGAATATAGACCATGGTGCTGAAATGGCGAGCGGGCCTATTGAGAGACTCTATGAGGGTAATTTATTAACTCTGTACGGGATGGATTTACATTTTATTAACCTATAAGGAAAAAGGTGCCGTGTCAACACTAACAATTACTTTTGATTTAAAATAATATGCTAAAATATACAAAGCCAACTGGAAATCTCTGTAAGAAAAAACACACAGTCTCTACAGTCATAATCAAATCTAGTTCAGGCGACTTGATAGAACTTCTCATTTGACAATAATTTATGACAGTTTGATGTTACTGAAATTGCCTCTTTTTATATTTGATTTTTTTTTATGCAAGACTTTGATGTACGATGACAAAAGTCCGGCTCCACATAAACAAATTTACTCATCCTTCGCCTGAGTTGGAGGCCGAAGCGCAACAGCATCTGACAAGGCGATCAGGTGCATATAATAGATTCATGAGGACGCCGGGGGAATTTTCCGCTACTAGAAAATATATTCACGTTATATGCGCATAATAAAACCGATGCGTTTTCTTTGTACTTTTCGGTAATGTAAAACGGCATACAAATCGCGGTTTTAAAAAATTACAGACAATCTTTAGGATTTTATACCGGCCCGGCATATTATGAAGAAAATATAGCGCAGTGGAGGATTTCTGCCCTACAAGTTTTCATTTTCTGTTTCCAAAGGGGATTTTTCTATGCATGCTCATATCCTACAACTGGCCACAGTTTTGGAGTAATAATATTCAGGAAATGAGGTTAAAGTAAGATGAGTTCTGATGAATATTCCAGACGTATTGGTTTCTCGAGAGAATCAACATTCAGACCAACTTAAAATAAATTTCACGTTTTTACACTCCTCTCTCTTTTCAATAATACCCGTTAATGGACGTTTTGTCCCAATAAACTGCGGTTTATATTATTTTCTAGCATAAAGAACAAATGTAATGTCATTTACAATAATTTAGAGCAGGTCTATGTGCCTGCTCCATTTTCCAAATGCACCCCTGTATCAAGCCGACGCACTTCACTAGAAATTTTATCCAATAAAGCATTCGCGGTTATTTTAAGTCTTCGTTTATCACACCAAAAATATCAGTGCCAATAATAACTCGGTTATTTCGGGGAAATAAAAAATGCATTCTTACACAGAGTGAAAAGACGCAAAAACGTGATCAAATTTGTTGTTTTACTTAAGCTGGGTTTTGTAATTGATTATTTTGTTATAGAATGTAAGTGTAGAATTTTTATTGAACTTATCCAGGAACTTTTGCGGACTTATTACTATAGGTGTGCAGACCATTTAAAAAGTCAGAATATTTCTGTTCTTACCGTGCACATCTCCGTCCTCTGCCATGGCGTTGATGTTCTTGTCTCCGAGGACCTGGACGTGCTTGCCGCTGGTCCTGCTGTAGAGCTGGTAGGCGCGAATCAGCCTCCGACTCGCCCGGTCCGTCACTCTGCTCTGTTCGCTCACATGCTGTGTGAAATTTGGTGGGGACTGAACGCTTACCTGTAACAAATGTCAATACACAGAAAAAGAAAATGCCGTTATGTTACAAAATTCAGGAAAAAAAAACGGGTAAGGTATTATCTCTGCATATCCCCACTTTATATTTTATGTTATTAAAAGTAGGTTCTACATTCCTGAGCTGTCAAAGGACACAAAATACTCTTGACAGTTATGAAGTTTGCTTTGAAGTCGATTCACGATCGTCAAGACATTTATAAGAGTCCCGTAGTGTTCACTATTCAGCCCTGGTCATGTCCTACAAACAAGTGACGGGTTCTGTATGGATATACCGCAGCCGTCTCTGTCCATGACACCCGCCTGACATGTTGCTATACCACAAATGCAGCGATCTTTCACCCTCGCTCCTTCAGATGACTTCCTCAGCGATTCCTTTTCGTTTCTTCAGCCATCCCAATATCCATCTGTTTTCGCAATTGTCTTTTTCGCTAGAGGTCTACGTGTTTTCAAGATGTTTCGTTGAATAATTGCCAGCGACATACATAATGTGGTGTGTTGCATTTCGGCAAAAAGAAAAAGCAATGCGAATTATGTTATCTTACTGTAATCTCTACCTTAATTTTACAAGAATGCAGAAGTTTTCACATATTGTCTAGGCTCTCCTTAGCTAGTTGTTGTGGACTTTTTATATTTAGGCAACGAAACCGTGAAGCTTGCAAAAACGTACCTGAATGTTGACGCAAAGGGTAAAGAAGTAAACGGACCTGAAAAATAAAAGTTATTTTATTATCGCACACAACATGCATACATTGAAAATGAGCAAATGTTAAAATTGTCAGGAGATGCACTTACAGACAGCCTAATCCCGGTGGTATAAGTCTCATTGTGAAGTGGTGGAATCACGAGAAGTCTCCTTTTTGGTAAGATATTCGTCATCAATTCCGCTGTAGAATGAAACTCTTCGGCACATATACGTCTTCTTAGATGAGAACTTAAGGCCACTTTATTTATTTTAAGTCCCGTTTACTTCTCATCAAAGCCCAAATAAAACCCAGATATTGGCAAAAATAGACATTTAACTTAAAAAACAGACGAATGCGACGCAGCAGAAGTTTTTAAAAGTCCGCATTATTTCAAAAGTAACCACGGGTCACTTGATATTTTACAGCTCCTTATAAAAATCAGTTTTGTCACGCGATGATAGAAAACTGTGACCGTCATTCTTCATAATAAGTGTCATTTGGTGTTTTCTGAATGCTTACTTAGCAAACGGATACACTGAAAACGCAGCCAATTAAGTAACAACCGGCGCATTTTGATTTCAGACAAAAAACTCCGGTATATGTAAATTTCAATGGGAAAAAATACAAGCAGTGAAAATCTAATAACCTCCGATGTCCATAAGCTGTCGTAGACACATACATGTGACGCAACATGTATGTCCGTGCATTATATGTGTTTGAAACCCAACGCATGTAATTATCCCTGACGACGTTTCATCCGAGTAGCTGCAGACGGGATCCTGCGCTGGATGTCTTCAAGTCAATCAAAGATTCTTGGAGTGATGCATCCCTGCTTGTGATAGTGCCATTAGCGATGTTACCTCAAAGAGCAGTGGTATACGACTGACTGTATTCCCTGTTGCTCTTCCCTCCTCTAGTCCCATTGCCAGTCTCCAATGTCAACCCCTTGTTCACACTTGCACCCCTGTTTAAAATGGCAGGAACATCCTGAAGGACCGAGTCTCTCCCGAACAAAGGCGACCCCCTCCCACGACATTTAAAATATACCTTCATCTGAGGAAGATATATCTGATAGTCAGCAGCACACAACGGCGCACAAGTTAAACTGCAGCGCAGTAGATGTAGCAAGTCACCCAAGTGTCAGAAAAAAAGCTTTGTGTAATTGCGCACTGCAGATAATGTAACGCTGAGCTACTTTCACAGTTTACATGCAGGCACTGGGCCTGATTCTATCCAATCGTCACGGAGTTTGGCCATAATTTGGACTAATGGAAACGATCACTTGCGCAAATCAGTGCTTGCACAACGATCTTATCGTCTATTATCTCATTTGAGTAACAAAGTATATACGATATTGTCTTCTAAAAAAATTAGAATAAATTAATTATGGTGTTTATTCATATTATGCCGTTGAAGGAACTGTAATACAGATCAAACAATGCAGTAATGTGGTTATATAGTATTTCACTTAACGATGAACTAAAAACTTCCAGGGTTTATTAATCAGAAGTAGCGACATGTGTATTGAGTTGACTTTGACAATGAAAAGTGTTCGACATTAAAGGGATTACAGGCGATTAGCTCCCCCCTACCGTCCAAACACACACACACACACACACGCACACACACACACACACACACACACATCCAGTCAGAAGAATCAAGGTCTGTATTGGTCTCAATAGAGAGATAATATATTATTTTATCAATTATTGCTTTTGTAAATTATGTTTGTTACTGTTCTTATATTGTTATGTAACACCACCAGCACCAAAAACAACAACAACAACAACAATAATAATAATAATGATAATAATAATAATAATAATAATAATAAACTTTTATATACAACTCTGTGTCATTATAATTAAGTCTGGTGTAAAATATATTTTCAAATTGCTGCAAATTTTCCAATTCTGATTTATTTTATTTATTATATTTATTCATATTTTATTTCATTTGGATAAACTTTTGGTTTTGGAAATTGCACTTTCAACATTAGACTCTTCCCCGTTTAAAGTGAATATATGAGATCACTCCTGCATCTTTATTCATTTAAAAAATTTTGAAATTACTGGGGCATTTTCTCGGTTATAGGCCCACACATTAACCTGGAATCATTTTAACGGTCTTTATATTTGGATTCTATCATCGGCTGTCCAGACAAACGAAATAGGCTGCACAAGAAAAATTTCAGAGCAGGTCCAGTTACCAAACATACCGTAAAAGGTTTTTCCAGGAACCGTAAATGAAACGTGTAAAAACACTTATATCTTCTAAATCATCGACATCATCATGAATTATAACAAAACGAAAAAGTCAATTTAGATTCAAGCTATGTGGTATTTATCAATGTCATTAAGTACCTAATATCACGCAACATAATACCCATTGACGAACTATTGGTAATCTTGACTAGAGTTCAGCACGCCGTTGGGTTCTGAAAAAAACCCATCGCTGCCAGCGCCCTCTATAGGACATTAAAACATATTGCTTGTACAGCGTCTTCTACAAGGCTAAAGACCAAATTCAGTACAGCTGCCAGGTCCCCAGCTTATTGTAATTGTTATAACAAAGACTTCATTAATAAGAGCAAAGACATTCATTGTGACTACCTTACTCATATTGTTTTGCGGATGTTAATATTAATTTAATGCTGTGTTTTATGTTGAACAGAACCATACCAATACCTATTAAAATCGAGCTATTACTCTGTTGGTGAGTGGATTGGCATGGGACCAAAATGACCACCCCCCCCCCCAACTCTGTGTGGGTTTGTTCCCCAACTAAAGGGTTCACTACCGTGGGAATAAGTCTGAGGTTGGGAAAAAATAACAATACTCTGGGACCTATGGCAGTACCGACTGGAAAACAGCTTCAGTCCTGCCACAGACATTACCACATTCTGTGTACCAGGGTACAGACTACAGTCTGCAGCAGTAGCTTCCAAAACTTTTAAAATGTGGTATTCTTGTCATGAGAAGATTTAGTATTTTTGTCTGCCTAGGGGATGAATCCCCATTTGCGTTTTTAATATGTGAATGTAAATAGTAAAACAAACTACCTATTTAGTTTGCCTGTGTTGTGAGAATACGATCTTGACACCTTGATAGCCAAAAAATTGCCTTAGTCGTGGTAATTCAACATGTAACAGTTGAATGTCTTCAGGGGCCCCGCTAAAGATTTTGGGGCCCATGAGAACAGATCGTATTGGGCCCCCAACCCAGAACAATCCAATTATGCTCCAGATTCTTGGAATCATTCTAACGTTGGTCCTTCATGGCACCTCTGCATGTCATTGATTGTAAGATCATTAGTTATTCATTTTCATACCCAAACACTATATAAACACCACAAATGTTGCATCTGTTGCGTGCTGACACATGCTTCCAGGGATATATAGGTAGACACATGGATATACATTATAACAACCTTTTATGGTGGTGCATGGGTACCATGGAAACAAGGCATCGCCGGGAAACAGGCACTGAATGGCTCAGCGGTATTATACAGTTGTCATGAAGGATGCTGGGGTGTCAGAGGTTAAAGAGGGGACACAGCAGGTCCCGTGCCAAGCAGCAGGATGTCAACCACATGACCATCACCCCAGGTTCCTGGACATAAACTAAAGAAAGACTTAAGGCTGAGGTAAACTGGGACAGGAATGCCTACACAGTGCTTGTTGACCCATTTCAGCAACCTTATTAACGACACCAAAGGCCATCGAACTCTAATTACTAGTTTGCTTACTGCATGCCGGTGTACCCAGGGAGCGTTTCAGTCTGCTGGCATATCCATTCATGCAGCTGGGTTTGTGCTTAATAAATTCAGGTTAAGTGCTTTACTCCAGGGCATGCCTCTACCAGGATTCTGTACCTGGATGGTCTCCTGCATCTGGAACGTTCTATAAAAACAGTCAAATAAATTATGGTCATATGAAACGCATCACACTAAATTGTTAAATTCTGTGGATTGTACTTGTTGCTTTACACTCCAGATTTACTGTGAAATCTATAATAAGACTGGATATTCCTACAGTAAAATACAAAAAAAAAAACTATACTTTATATAGATTGAGATGTTATGGTGTCATTCTGATTTAGGGTCTTTCTTATACAGCACACATGCCAATGCCAAACATGCGTAAAGAAAGACAGACAGACTGTTATTTTTTTTTGTAAAATATAAATATGGATATTCAGAACAATTATATAATACGACAATGCGATGTCTGCTGCTGTAGTTAAAAGCATCGATATTTTGAAAGCTGAATGCATATTTTAGCCTGTGCTGTCATTTTATAATTAGTAAAAATGTTATATTATTTTGCTGTATTGTTAATAAAAATAAAATATTTTTATGATGAAAATCTCAAGTAAGAATAATAATGTGCTGTATATTTAATAATTATTATTTTGGTTTTTCCAGTCGTAATAAAATAAAACTTGTATGATTATATAACCGTATATATAAAAGCAGTTATAGTCCAGGGAAAAGTAATCCTCCAGAACTCAGATTCCCATGATGCCTACAGGGTTTGAGTGACAAGTGACTAATCAGTACACAATCTGCAATAAAAAATATATGAAAAATTAAAATAAAGAAATTGAATAAATGTCCCCGATGCGTGACGTCAGGTTTCGTGTTACTGCTACCATCCTTCCCATCTTTTGACGAGCAGTTATATAATTTTTGTTAACGCATCACGATCACGTTTGACTTCATTAGTGTAGAGAGCATTTTAAATTAGCTGCACTTGAGTGAGGCAGAGCAGGTAAGGGACCCCCTATAGGTACGACTGTTCACAAATATCTCCGTATTACGGTTTATTGTTTTCTCACCATTGTTCGTTCAGCTTTAAAGAAGCACGAATTATTGTATTCATTAAAAGCTTTCAAAGTGACCATTAACGATCCATATGGAAAAATGTTGCTCCTATGCATCTATTAATGAAAATGTCCAGCATCACTTTCCCATACCATAAGCCGGTGGCTGTTTCATAGGTCCGCTGGGTTGGCCGTGGTGTAATTTTAGCTTTGTTCAATGAACACGTGTAAGTAATATGTATTCCATGAGAACACAATATGGTTTTAGCATCTAGGCTACTCTTTAGACATCTGCCATTGTTCAACCTGGTCCTCTCCTGATTACTTATTCACGGCTTTCCTGTTTTCATGAACCCTTTCCCAAATAGTTTGCGTACAATCAAAATATCACGTATAACACACCTACATATACTTGACTGGCTAGTATGAATTACAACTACTACATTAAGGAGTGTACCACGGTACATGTAATATCAGGGAACACTGCAATAGCAGTAATCTGAAAACTTTACCCATAAATGCTCAGATTTGTAGCATGAGATGTTGACACAACAAGCATAACTGGTGATACATGTAAGGCTTTCTGTTGTGAATAACAGAATGGCAGCATCCTTTACATTCACCCCAGCACCTCAGGGGGCTACCAGACATGAACTGTGGAACACATACGAGCAAGGAGGAGCCATATTGGGGGAGGGGGGCAAAAAATCATGAACACTTATCTGTTTGCTTTTGAGAAACTGCTGTTCAAGTCCTTTCGTTTATTAACGACGTTTTACTGGCTTGCGTGAAATTATTTGTGGCTAATTTTCCGTGATTGTTCATCACTGCATTCTTAACCATGCTGCAGAAGTTAACCCCCCCCCCCCCCAGCAATTTAGTAAAAGCTGTCACAGGAAGTCTAAGAATACAACCCATCCCCCTCCCCTGCTTTCAGGTGCGATTTAAGTGCCAGCTAACAGTACTGACTGCCATCGGCATTTATGGAGTCAAATATTGCCCCTTGTAAATCAGTCATTTTAGTGACTGCTGGGCTTTAGAAGGTGCAAACGTCCCAGGCCGCATTAGTACCAGGGACCGTATCCAGCACCTCAGCCACCTGGAACAGCTCAGTGCCCGGCTCTGCTCCACGTCACCCTCATGTGTTCTGGGTTTGTACCCCGCCGGAGCTGCACGGCCAGCCAGTCCCAACGGAGCACCCGGGCCCTGTGCTTCCCGCTCTCACGCCGCTCTGCTCCTTCACTTCTCACGCCGAGAGAAATAAAACACAAAAAAAAAGTCTGTGGACCGGCGGCGGAGCTCCGGGCTGGACGGCCTCCAGGCGCTGCCCTGCCCTCGCCGTGCCCGGCACTGCTCGCTTTCGCCGTAGCCCCCGGCTGCTTTTTGCATCTTGCTTTGGCGACTCAGTGCGTGATATCGGCGTGGCTGAGACGGGGCCGCGTCGGCGGTAGGGGCTGTAAAAAGCCCAGCGTGGTCGCTGCCAGGTATTCATACAAGAACAGTGACTGCATGTCTGAGACGCTGTGGAGCAGACTGTCTCTGCAGAAGGACTTTTTCTAGCGGGGAGGAGGGGGCGCTGCTGTGTGACTGGCAGGGGGGAAGTTGGGGCCCGGGGCCCAGGTATCCCAGAATGCCGGGGTAGATCGATGAACGTGAGATGCGGGCACTACTTGCGTTTTTTTGTTATCCAAAACGTTTTGGTGCTCGGTAAACCTGCAGATACATTGTGTGTAGCTGAATAGAGCTGTGTGAGGAGGTCCCAATGGGCGGGAGGTGGAAAGGAGGCCACACGCACTATTTCAAGCTGGCTGAAGTGTGAATGATACCGCGAGGGGTGGCTGATGTGCCGATAACATGCCAAAGGTACATCTGGGCTAGCTGGCTGCTGACTATGGACACAAGCCACCTGGGTACAGTCACATTTCACAGCCACGATTTCCACGTTACCTCATCTATTATATTGGGATATACTGGAACGCTTTCTTGTCTATAGACGTTGATACCACGATAATAAAATATATAACAAACTTAAAATATTATGCGATAAAAGCTGTTTTTTTTACCATCCATCTTTTCGTTCATTTACTGTAGCTACTTGTCTTATTCAGGGTTGCGGCAGTGCGGAGACTATCCCGAAGGCTACGGCCGCAAGGTGGGGGTCAACCCAGGATGGGGGGGGTCAGCCGATCAGAGGGCACAAGGTGGGGAACAGCCCAGGATGGGGGGGTGGGGGTCAGCCTATCACAGGGCACACTCACACACCATGCACTCACAAACGCACGCCTATGGGCAATTTGGCAACTCCAATTAGCCTCAGCATGTTTTTGGACTGTGGGGGGG